CAGGGATTTGATCCTCGAGGCCCCTGATTGGAAGGTAGATTCTTAACCACTGGACCACCAGGGAATTCCCTACACAATAATTTAAAGAATATGATTTCTGTCTAGCAAAAGATGGCCTGTTCCTCCAGGATAACCACGTATAACCTAGATGTGGAAGTTTTCAATGGATTTGTGCATGAGTTTTGCTTCATACGGATACTGGAATAATCCCCACACCCTGCCAAAAGAAAAACGAAAAACAAAACAACTTCACAGTAAGTCAACAATGTATTTTCGCTAAGGAGCTCCTGAGAATAAGAGGAGGTTCTTTGGGAAAGGTGATATGTATCTATGGAAAATTTTCTTTTAAGTGATTAAAAAAAAATTTTTTTTTTTTTTTGGGCCGTGCTGCAGGGCTTGTGGGATCATGGTTTCCCGACTAGGGATTGAACCTGGGCCCTTGGCAGTGAAAGTGCAGAGTCCTAACCACTGGACTGCCAGGGAATTCCAATTTTTTTTTTTTTTTTAGGTAAGAAGTGGATTTATTTAGAGAGAAACACACTTCCCAGACAGACTATGGGTCATCTTGGAAGGTGAGAGAGGCGTCAGGGGTACGGGGTTGTCGGTTTTTACAGGGGTGGGTAATTTCATAGGCTGAGTGGGAGGAGTATTCCAGCTATTTTGGGGAAGGGGTGGGGATTTCCAGGAATTGGGCCACCACCCACTTTTTGATCCTTATCGGTGTTGAAGCTGTCACGTGCCTGTGGGTACATCATTTAGCTTGCTGATGTGTTACAGTGAGGGTATACTGTATACTGAGGCTCAAGGTCTAGTGGAAGTTGACTTGTCTACTATCTTGGAGCGACTTGGTTCTAGTCAGTTTATGTCATGTCCTCGGGCTATGTCATTCTTTCAAAGGTTATGCCCTGCCCCTTCCCCTATTTCATTCCCCTCTCAGATTTTACTCCCATATTCTTATGGGAAGCAGAGGGGTGATGGTCATCTGTAACTGCTTCAAGGCTGAGTAGGGACAATGACCCTTCCTGTCAGGGAGTAAAAATCTCTGGATGCCTGATCTAGGGGCCCAGGGGGAGGACAGCTCCTTGTTTTAAGTCAGTATGGGCTGGAATCCTCACATAGCCATACATCTTGATGTGGAACTGCTGTAACTGCTTCCATAGCCTTTCTATGATCTCCTTGATGATGAAGCACTTTTTCTAGCAGCATTAGAGTATAAAAATATCTATCTATAAATGACGAGAGATTTTAGATGCTATCCCTTCCCAGGCAGTCTCCCAACCAGGTGTTAGAGTGCCCAAAAAGTTGTCTCAAAGAAACGGCACAGAATGTGTCCCCAGTGGTGTTGACTATGAGAGGGAGTTGGTCTAGCTTATCACTGTCCCTTCGTGGCTTGCCAGCTGAAACCGTGGAACTCAGATTTGGGACTTGAATCCATGCACCGGGAATTGAACCCAGCCAAAACCCAGACTGGGACTTGAACCCAAGGTCTTTATATATTTATTTTTTTTGCGGTACGCGGGCCTCTCGCTGTTGTGGCCTCTCCCGTTGCGGAGCACAGGCTCCGGACGCGCAGGCTCAGCGGCCATGGCTCACGGGCCCAGCCGCTCCGCGGCATGTGGGATCCTCCTTGGACTGGGGCACGAACCCGTGTCCCCTGCATCGGCAGGCAGACTCTCAACCGCTGCGCCACAAGGGGAGCCCCCAAGGTCTTTAAATTGAGATCACACACCTGGTCTCAGGACTTAATGAAGTTCAGGTTCTTGATGTCTCATCACAGAAAGAATTCAGTGAGAGACAAAGTGATAGGTAAGAAGTGGATTTATTTAGAGAGAAACACACTCCACAGACAGAGTGTGGGCCGTCTCAGAAGGCGAGAGAGGCCCTGAAAAATTTTAATTAATGCTATAAAATAGTATATCCTTTTAAGTGGGAATGTTGAGTCAAAGACATGCACGTTTAAAATTTTCGACAAATGTTGCCAAATTTCAGAAGAAACAAATATGACATCCACACAGATAATTAAAATATTCCTAGTATCACATTAAAAAAGGAAAAAGAAATAGATAGTTAATTTTAATAATATACTTTATTCAGTTCGGAATATCCAAAATGTTATCATTTAAACATATAATGTAAAACTCACTAATGAGATATTTGACCTTTTTAACTTCTGAACAGTCTTCAAATCTCAGTGTGTATTTTACACTTACTTTACGACCTGGCCACACTTCAAGTGCTCAAGATTGTATGTGGCTGTTTGTTACCAAACTGGATAATGCTGACCTAGAATCTTTTCCCAAGCTTACCTATTGGTTTAGTGCAGCAGTCAGGTAAACTCTGGTCCATAGCTCAAATCTTGACTGTGGCCCTGATTCTGTTTGGTTTAGAGGCTGAATGGTTTTTATTCTTAAAAGGTTGTAAACAAATAATAATAATAAAAATAAAGAGGAACATGTGGTCCAGAGCATATGTGGCCTGCAAAACCTAAAATATTTATTATTTGGCCCTCAACAAAAAAACTCTGGCGAACCCTGGTCTGGTGTAACCGAATGCACTCAGGTTTATTCTATTTATTTGCAATGTCAATGCGTTCAAGTTTCTTTGCTTTTGTGATGTTTCACTTTAGCCACACATACCTAGAAGAGACTGGAAGCATCTCTAGTGACCTTTGACTTCTCTTTGCATAGCTTTTTCCCCCCTTGGTCAATCTAGCTAAAGCTTTGCTCATTTTGTTCATCTTCTCAAAGAACCAACTTCTGGTTCTGCTGATTCTTTGTATCATTAAAAAAATTCTCTATTTCACTTTAGTTTAATCCCTATTATTTTCTGCCTTCTGTTGCTTTTGGTTTTGTTTGTTCTTTGTTTTAGCTTCTTACCATGTAGAGTTAGTTTATTGATTTGAGGTCTTTCTTCTTTTTCAATGTAGGCATTTCCTGCCATAAACTGTCTTCTGAGCGTGCCTTTCACTGCATCCTGTAAGTTGTAGTTTGTTTTGATTTTCACTCCTACGTATTTTCTAATTTCCCTTATGATTTCTTCTTTCAACCATCTGTTGCTTAAGAGTGTGTGGTTTAATTTCCATATAGTATTCTTGTTTTCCTTCTGTTGATTTCTAGTTTCATTACATTGTGGTCAGGTTTCAATCTGTGCTTTTAATCTTTTCAATTTGTTGAGATTATTTTGTGACCTAACATAGGGTCTATCCTGGAGAATGTTCTATATGTGTTCTGTTGTTGGTGGAATGGTCTGTATATGTCTGGCATCCCTCCCCCCAAATATGTTCCATGTTCCCTCATTCCCTCCCTGCCAAGGATCCAAATCCTTAACCTAACCCTAACACTACGGTATATGTAACCCAAGGACAAAGTAACTTGAATTGAAATGTAACCCCAACCCTGAGATAAACCAAACATAAGGCCTACGTCAACCTGATTCTGAACCCTCTGTCGGCCTTCATAAGGCACTCCTCTGGGCTCTAACCACACTGGCATCCCCTGTGCCACAGTTCTCCCACTGGCTGTAGCACCCACCCTAGATCTCCCAGGCCACATTCATGGATAGCATTCAAGTTCTCCAGCTCTCAGAGGCTCCCCTCCTGGACTCTCTCCTTTTCTCCAGTCTCCCAGGACCTGTCTGAGCTCAAGCCTCTCCCTTCTAATGCACCAGGCCCTCCCATGGCCATCAGCCCCGCCCCTAGCCTTTCAAACTCACTCCCATGGGCTCTAGTCCTCTCCCACCCATACTCTTAGATTCCCCACCATGGGCTCAAGTCCTTTCTCCAAGACAACCCACTTTCTTCACTCTAGGACTGACCCTCTTAAGACAGCTCAGGTCCCTCCAGAGTCTAACTGCTCCCTGAGCTCTCTCAAGGACTTGATCCTGGGCCCTGGCCCCTTCCCCAGGGCAAATCCACTTGCCTCCCTTGAGTATCACCTTCCCATCCCTGTTGCGGGACCTCCAGGATTTGGAGAGGTCCAGTGTGCTGATTCTCTCCCTTCTTTTTTTTTTTTTTTTTTAATGAATTTATTTTTGGCTGCGTTGGGTCTTCGTTGCTGTGCGCGGGTTTTCTCTAGTTGTGACGAGCGGGGGCTACTCTTCATTGTGATGCATGGGCTTCTCATTGCGGTGGCTTCTCTTGTTGCAGAGCACGGGCTCTAGGCACATGGGCTTCAGTAGTTGTGGCACGAGGGCTTCAGGAGTTGTCACTCACAGGCTTAGTTGCTCCGCGGCATGTGGGATCTTCCCGGACCAGGGCTCGAACCCATGTCCCCTGCATTGGCAGGAGGATTCTTAACCACTGTGCCACCAGGGAAGCTGCTGTTCCTTCTTGAACAGGCCATGTTTGAACATCCAACAAAGACACTGGCTTATAAGCAATTTTAACGTCAGCCATTCTGGTGCATGTCTAGTGACATCCCATGATGATTTTACTTTGCATATCCTTGAGGAGTGATGACATTTAACACATCTGCACTTACTTATTTGCCATTTGGTGATCTTAAGTGCTTATGTTAAGTCTCCCTCCACCTTTTAATTGATTTGTTGTTTTATTATTGACTTGAAGGATTCTTTTTATCCTTTCTTTGTGAATCCTTTGTCAGGTTTATGTAAATATCTTCTCCCAGTCTTCTTGCTTTTTCACCACCTTCATGGTGTCATTTGATGATCAGAACTTTGTACTTTTGATGAAGTCCAACTTAATAACTTTTTATTTTTTGTTTAATGTCTTCTGTACACTAAGAAATGCTGCCTACCCCAATGCTGTGACAATAATCTCCTAAATTTTCTATTTTTTTTTTTTTTTGGCCGCGCCACACGGCTTGTGGGATCTCAGTTCCCCAACCAGCGATCGAACCTGTGCCCCCCTGCAGTGGAAGCACGAGTCTTAACCACTGGACCACCAGGGAATTCCCCATATTTTCTTCTAGAAGTTTGATAGTCTTTTCTCAGCTCACTGCACCCGCAGGGGGTCTTCTTGTAAAAATTCACTAATAGCAATGTTAATGGTAATGAGAACAACAAAAACAGCTAATATTTATTGAGCTTACACAACATTTCAGATACACGTTCAAGGAGCTTACATGTACCAAACTCATTTAATCACCACAACAGCAGTATTAGGTAGGTGTGATTATCGCCATTTCACAGATAATGCACAGAGAGTAATAGCTAATTTTCTCAGTGCCTCACAGGGAGTAAAGAGGTGGGATGGTGATGGAAACAGGTAGCGGTATGTACCACGAGAAAAGCTCTCCCACATATGCTCCATTAGCAGAGTTTTACCTTAGAACAAATCTGAAATACGACAGAGATGAAATGGTATTGGAAGGTTTCTACGCATTCAGGAAACTAACCTATCCAGTAGAAAATAGTCTACAACTGAGTATGTTGTGATCGATAAGAAAAAGTGATTTCTCCAATACTCCAAATTCACCTCTCATATGACTTCTGATATTCTATAAGCAGAAGAGGGACCGTGAAGGCTTTCTTGCGTTAAGTCTCATCATGGATTTTCCTCTTGTCGTGGAAGAAATGAATGTTGAATAGAGGCCTCTGTATGCTCTTTGTACCCAAAAGGTTTCTCAACAGCATGAATTCTCTGATGTTCTGGAGGATGGTCTACACGTTTACATGCCTTTCCACATTCCTTACACTCAGAGGGTTTCTCACCAGTATGAATTTTCTGATGCTGTGTAAGTTGATGGCCGTGACTGAAGGCCTTCCCACATTCTTTACACTCGTAGGGTTTCTCCCCTGTATGAATTCGCTCATGTTTGACAAGGCTTGACCCATAAATAAAGGCCTTTCCACATTCCTTACATTTGTAAGGCGTTTCACCAGTGTGGATTCTCTCATGCTGAGTAAGGTGATAGCCACAGTTAAAGGCCTTCCCACATTCTGTACATTTATATGGCTTCTCACCCGTATGAATTCTCTCGTGTTTCACGAGACTCGAACCCCAGCGGAAGGCCTTCCCACATTCCTTACACTCATGAGGTTTCTCACCAGTGTGAATTTTCTGATGCTGAGTGAGATAATTGACGCGAGTAAAGGCCTTCCCACATTCTTGGCACTCATAGGGCTTCTCACCGGTGTGAATTCTCTTATGTTGAACGAGGCTGGAACCACAAATGAAGGCCTTCCCACAGTCTTTACATTCGTAGGGTTTTTCACCACTGTGGATTCTCTTATGCTGAATTAGTTTATACACTCGGCTAAAGGTCTTCCCACAGTCTTTGCATTCATAGTCTTTCTCACCGGTGTGAAATCTCTGATGCTGAGTGAGCTCATCACCGCGTCTGAAGGCCTTCCCACAGTCTTTACATTCATAGGGCTTCTCACCCGTATGAATTCTCTTATGAATAACGAGGCTTGAACCCCACCGAAACGCCTTCCCACAGTCCTTACATTCATAAGGTTTCTCACCAGTGTGAATTTTTTGATGTTGAGTAAGTTGGTTACCCCAACGGAAGGCCTTTTTACATTCTTTACATTCGTAGGGTTTCTCACCAGTGTGAATTTTCTGATGTTGAGTAAGTTGATAGCCTCGGCTAAAGGCCTTTCCACATTCCTTACATTCATAGGAATTTTCCCTGTTATGAAGTCTCTGATGTGGTCGGACAGAGGTATTTTCTCTGCAAGTGGGCGCTTTCCCACAGTTGATTTGATTGATATATCCCTCTTGTGGGGCCTGTGGTCCTTCAAACTCACCTTCACACATCCAGTCAAGGCCAAGGGATTTACTTTTTCTATTTGAGTTCTGTTTGGAAAAATTTATCTCATAAGTGCCCTTCTGTGTAGGTAAACTCTTGGTCTCATATGGTGATTCCAAATCTGAAAAAAACAAAACGAACAAAAAACCCAAAAAACCCCAACATATTTTGTTTCTTTTTAAGAAAACAAAAACAAATCTAATCATAAACTAAAACCTTCTCTAACAGAAATAAAACTCCTCCAGTGGGAAAAATATGAATCACCTAGAGCTCTTATTAAAATCTAGATTCCACGTCTAGCATCACAATACTTAATGAGGAAACACTGGAGACATCCCTGCTAAAATCAAACAAAAGAGGCACTTACTATTAGCTCTACTATTTCCTACCAGCTGAAACAATTAAGCAAAAAAAAAAATTAGAGGGACAAATCTCAAAAATGAAGATGAAAAAGTACAATTTATAGATGTGATGACAAACCTGGAAAACCAAGAAAATCAAATATACAACTACTGTAGGAAAATAAAAAGATACAGTTGGATAGTTGTGTATACACACAAAAACACAAGTAATATCATTAAAAGTAATTCTGGATACAAAGATCCAACATTCAAAAGATGTGTGTAGAATTAAATTTAATAATAAAAATTATGAAACACTTAGGAGGAAATGTTTAGAAAAATCTGAGCATCAATAAGGATGCTAGGGGCTTCCCTGGTGGCGCAGTGGTTGAGAGTCCGCCTGCCGATGCAGAGGACACGGGTTCGTGCCCCGGTCCGGGAAGATCCCACATGCCGCGGAGCGGCTGGGCCCGTGAGCCATGGCCGCTGAGTCTGCGCGTCCGGAGCCTGCGCTCCGCAATGGGAGAGGCCACAGCAGTGAGAGGCCCGCGTACCGCCCAAAAAAAAAAAAAACGGATGCTAACTCAAGGGACTGTAAAACATGTTTAAATTCATGAGTTCATTCAGATACTAAAAAATGTTAAATGGCCAACTTTGGAGCATGCTAGGAAACCAGCCCTTTGTTATTAAAAACTGATAGTTTTTTTTCTTTAAAGAACAAAGTTTTCATCTTTCTTATCCAATATGAGCAGTTCCACTACACAACCAATTAGCAGGTGGGTCAGTTTCTCTTCAAAGAATTATTTATAGTGAATAAATGAAGAGGCAATGATAGAATACCACCATTTGGAACCCCCAATGAAATACTGAATCTAGGTACTGAGTGTCAGTGACTGCTAACACAGCATCAAAAGAGACATAAGCGGATATTGCTTCGTGATGGAAGAACAGAGAACCCAGGAAGCAGTATCACCAAAAAATAGATTAAAAAGGAAAAAAGCACACTAAGCTAGGATAACAGCCAACTTTCAGAAACTACGAATGGCACAGGGTCCTGTTTTCTATGCCCTTGCTACTCAGTAGGGGTGAAACATGAGAAGGAAAACAAATTGAGAAGGGAATGGGGTGAAGATAAAGTTCAAGGTGGTGACTTCTTCTTCAGAGGCCTTGGGCCCGAGACCTTTGTAGGGAGCTCTGCAAACACCTCAGGGGTGCAGTTGCCCCCTGCCCAGCTGGGCCGCTTGTGGTAGTGATGGCTTGCCTGAGCCGGGCTGGCTGTCGCTCTCCTCTGCACTACTTTAGTGTCTTTTCTCCTCAACTGTCGAAGGTCTCTCCCTTGCTTCCATAAGACAATTGTGTCTGGCTTAGAAATGAGATGTCTTGCTTTCAAAAAAAGAAATGCCACATGATGTAGAACTTAGGAGAAAACTGTTGGCTCAAGATTTTTTGATTGCGCTTTAGTCAAATTTGTGTAACAACCTAAAACTGACTTCAGGAAAAGAGAAAGGCCTGAAGGACAAACAGGAAACCAGATGGGTAGGGAAAAGGGCTATTTTATTCTATTCTATTCTATTTTACATTTACTTCATTTTTTAAAAAAGTTAAAAAATTTTATTTATTTTTATGTTTATTTTTTGGTCTTGTGTCGAGGCTTGCAGGATCTTAGATCCCCGACCAGTAATTGAACCCAGGCCCACAGCAGTGACAGTGCCGAGTCCTAACCACTGGACCACCACGGAATTCCCGAAAAGGTCTTTATTTAAACTTCTGGAGGCAAGCAGAACCTGGCAGTTGAGAATACGGATTCTGGGGCCAGAATTCTTAGGTTCCAGGTTTGCTTCTGCTTCCTTGATTAAGTCACTTTGTGCCCCAGTATACTCATCTACGAATTAGACGTAATAATTTCCTAGCTCATAAACTTGTGAGAACGGAATGAAACGTATTTGTACATATACATACACACCAGGCTCAGAATGTTTTCTGGTGCAGAGCAAGCACAGTATTTATTAGCCATTAATATTATGGCTGTTATTTTGCTAATAGAAAAACAAGAAATTTCCTTACATATTTATCATCCAATATTTAACTCAGAATTCATAGGTTATAACTTTCAACCTCACTTCGGGTACAATGTGTAGGGAATGCAATATGCTCAGTGTGGTTTTACACAGATTCTGTTCATTCATCCCACCTCTACATCAAACATAGAGTCTGGTTTGCCAGAGAAAATCAAGTCACTGTGTAGAGCCATTTCTCCTAAAGGTGGGTCCCCAAAGTACCATCGACAGCAATTTGGGTGTAAACATAGGCTCACAGCATGAAGCTTGGTTTCTTTGAAGATGGTCATGAAATAAAATAAATACATTTATTCTAATAAATTAAATAACTCTAATCAGTCCTTTGGCCAGTAAGGAAGAGAGGTAATTACAGGAGGGGCCAGAGATGGGAAGATCACTGATGGATGAGGAGGTGAAGGTGCATGCGTAACGCCCACTTCCAACTGGACAAAGCTCAAAACATCCCTTGGGTGCAGGAAGAAAGAAATTCAACTAGTATCTTGAAAGGTGGTCCTGAAAGGAGAGAGCTGACTGTGCAGGGAGCAGAGTCCAGATTATCTGAGGCAGGCAACTTACCCAGCGAGACCAAGTTACTGTAGTTCTCCAACATCACGTCCCAGTACAGGTCTCTCTGCGTAGAGTCCAGACATGCCCACTCCTCCTGAGAGAAGTCTATGGCTACATCGGAGAATGTCACCAAACCCTGGAAACGCAAACCCACACGTCCCTGATGAAACGAAAGCACACAGTTTCCAGATGGAGGAGGGGGGAGGAAGGGCTACACTCTGTGCAGGGGTGGATACAGCGGGTAGATTAAAAGCCTGTGATACGGGGAGGGGCCGGTGAGGACACGACTGTGGCTGAAGCCCCTCCTGCTGCAGGGGAAACCACCTACACCCTGGGGAATTCTTTTTTTTTAAAATTTTTATTTATTTTATTTTATTATTATTTTTTGCAGTACACCAGCCTCTCACTGTTGTGGCCTCTCCCGTTGCGGAGTACAGGCTCCGGACGCACAGGCTCAGCGGCCATGGCTCACGGGCCCAGCTGCTCCGCAGCACGTGGGATCTTCCTGGACTGGGGCACGAACCCATGTCCCCTGCATCGGCAGGCGGACTCTCAACCACTGCGCCACCAGGGAAGCCCTTTATTTTATTTTTGGCTGTGTTGGGTCTTTGTTGCTGTGCGCAGGCTTTCCTCTGGTTGCGGCGAGCGGGGGCTACTCTTCATTGCAGTGCGCGGGCTTCTCATTGCCGTGGCTTCTCTTGTTGCAGAGCACGGGCTCAGTAGTTGTGGTGCATGGGCTTCGTTGCTCCACAGCATGTGGGATCTTCCCGGACCAGGGCTCGAACCTGTGTTCCCTGCCTTGGCAGGCGGATTCTTAACCACTGCGCCACCAGGGAAGCCCCTGGGGAATTCTTAATCATGCCAACCTGTCAGGAAATGGATAAACCAATTCCAGTTTTCCTCCGCTGCACAAGCACAGAGCCTGCTAACAGGCCTGTCTCATGAATTTTCAGCAAGCATGGATTCTTACAGCATCCTTTTCTCTTTAAGGAGAAAGAAAAAAAATGTCTGGGGTTTACTTCCCAAATGTAATATAAGATCTTTTATCTTAGAAAATCGGGTTTGCATGTTTTCAAGTCTCGGGTTCATCATTTTGCCAGGTTATCTTTTAAGCAGTCCACCTTTGTAATGACAAAAGCATTTTTTTATTCCATCATAGAGAAGGATTAGATTTAATTATGATAGTTACACACTTAGGTTGAGCAAAATGTCTAAAGTTTCCCCAATTCCAGGAGTATATGATCATTTATTACTCTTGTATGAAATGACCTTCTTACCTGTTACCATCTGCTAGCCTTGCCTTTTCTTTGTTCCTGATTTAGGGGAAACTGGTATCAAATGATTCAGGAGCATACAGACAGGTCTGTGCAAAACAAAATTTATCTCCCGGGTCCCCTGGCAGGAACATGATCTCTGAGTCCACAGGCCCTAATCACAGCTCTACGCAATTCTAAAAGCTTCGTAAAGTGTGAGCTTTCACTACACACTAAGACTGAGACCAAAGAATATGAATGTTCCCTCTTATCTGCTTGGGAAAAAGATCAGTGGAGATGAGTGAGGAATTCTAGTTTTCTCGTGTGGTCAAATGGGACCAATGTCTCCAACTCATCAAATTGCAGACTGGACTCAAATATTTCTCCAAAGGTAGTTTCTGCTTCCATTGTTCCAATTACTCTTGACAAAAAAGTGAGTACATAAGAGATACTGAGTAACTAGCTCAAGGGTTAAGTGAACATTAGTCACAGGTGGGCAATAGGCTATATGGCGTTATTATTCACTGGAACAGAAAGAGCTGGGAAGTAGGTACTTGGATGGGACTCACTTGTGCAGGAGCCTTCATGATATTTCAAAGAAGTATCCACAGGACCTAAATATCACAATTCAAGAAGGAAAGAGAAAAACATACTTACGTGGGCCATGGTTTTAGAATTCAAGAACTGATCGGTCCTCTTGGGGTCTGCTTTACTGAAGACACAAAATCCAGAGAAGCCAGATCTAGACAAGGAAAAAGAGGCATTAAAATAAGTGCACCTTGGTCCCCAAATGACTTAATACAACCTTTTCACTCCTCCATCTTTTCTTCCAAAGAACGCTCATCTTCTTCCCCCACAAGGCCCCCCACATAAACACAGCACATCTGAAGATTAAAAGGATTCTGGAAAAAAACAAAACAAGTTTTCCCTGAAACCCCAGGAAACACAGCTGCACAGACAGGACAGAGGAACTTTTATTTTTTGTCTTGAAGTCAGATCCGGAAATTTCAGTGGGAGGATTCCTGGCCAGCTCCCTGTTGGGGGAATATGGATTAAGAATTTGGCCTTGGGGTTTCCCTGGTGGCGCAGTGGTTGAGAGTCCGCCTGCTGATGCAGGGGACGCGGGTTCGTGCCCCGGTCCGGGAAGATCCCACATGCCACGGAGTGACTGGGCCTGTGAGCCATGGCCGCTGAGCCTGTGCGTCCGGAGCCTGTGCTCCGCAACGGGAAAGGAAAAAAAAAGGAAAGGCCCGCGAACCGAAAAAAAAAAAAAAAAGAAAAAAAAGAAATATACCTTAAGATAGTCCCAAATTTTTAAAAAAAATTAACAAAGAAAAGGACTACAGTTATGAGGGGGCAGGTATGTTGCAGCCATTAAGTGAACTTTGAATAGATAGGTCTGTGGTAGGCAAAAGAACAGTCTCCCAAAGATGTCCATGTCCTAATCCTGGAACCTGTGAATATGTTACATTACACAGAAAAAGGGAGTTAGGTTGCAGAGGGAAAGTCCTGAATCATCTGACCTTAAAATAGGGAGATTATCCTGAATTATGCCAGGTGGGCCCCGTGTAATCACGAGGGTCTTCAAAAGTGAGTAAGGGGGATGAAAGAGGAGAGAAAGATGTGAGGACAGAAGCAGAGTCAGAGTGACAAGGGTCTAGTACTTGGGGTTTTGAAATATGCAGTCGTCACTCAGGGGGACACAGTTTTTGAAAAAAAGGAATAACTTTACAGTGGAGGAAACTGACAAACACTACCTAAGCCAGATGATCAAGTTCAACCTCAACAATCACAAATCTTGTTGATAGTATGTCTTCTTGCTATGATGTGATGAAAGTGGCAATTTACTGCTGTGATCTTCCACCCCCAAACCCATAAACCCAGTCTAATCATGAGGAAAACATCGCATTCCAATAGAGAGTCATCCTACAAAATACCTGACCAGTACCACTTAAAAATGTCACAGTCGTCAGAAACAATGGAAGTCAGAAATGGGCACAGCCAAGAGGACCTTAAGGAAACATGACAACGAAATGTAATGTGGTATCCTGGATGGGATCCTGGAACAGATGAAAACCATTATGTAAAAAGTAAGGAAATCTGAATAAAGCAAAGACATCAGTTAATGATAATGGTTCAGAACTGAGTTGTTAATAATAGAAGAAACTGGGTGCAGGGTACCTGGGAATTCTCTGTATTACCTTTGCAATTTTTCTTTAAATCTAAGACCATTCTAAAAAATAAAATCTATTAAAGAAGAACAATATGCAGCCATACGTAGCCCACAAAGCATGAAATATTTAATATGTGACCCTTTAGAGAAAGTTTGCCAAACCCTGCTCTGGATCCAAAACTTGTAATCAGCATCTAACCATACTGCTTCTCACAGTTCATACAAAGATATAACCGAAACATATGGAAACTGTCAGACCTCAAATAAGACCTGGCTAATACAACAAATTTCTATTTATTGATTACTGGAAAAAAAAAAAATCCTTGCCCTTGATGACAAAGACCTTTGCTCAAACCCCACTCTTAAAAGCCTCACAGGGGGCTTCCCTGGTGGCGCAGTGGTTGGGAGTCCGCCTGCCGATGCAGGGGACGCGGGTTCGTGTCCCGGTCCAGGAGGATCCCGCGTGCTGTGGAGTGGCCGCTGGGCCCGCGCGTCCTGAGCCTGTGCTCCGCAACGGGAGAGGCCACAACAGTGAGAGGCCCGCGTACCGCAAAAAAAAAAAAAAAGCCTGACAAAGCTGGTAACTTTGTCATTAACTGACTAAAACAATCAAAACTTCTCCTTTCTTACTGTGCTCTGAAAGTCAGCCCTGTGGAAAAGACCAAAGACATCTAGCCTTTGATTTCCACCTAAAAATTTAATATCCTCCTTACCAAATCACACACTAAAAGTGCTAACATTAACTCCCAGTAGTATTCCTCGATCCTAGCGGAGTCTTGGAAGACCACACAGGAGGATGTGAACAATCTGCTTATTGAATACGTGAGTACTCATTGAGACGGTTGGTCAACGGGGAATACACATTCACGACTCTTGTCACACCACTTGGGAAGAAATTACTGGGTCAAGTCACCATTAAAGAGGACATTTCGGGGCAAGGAAAGCAAATATCCTTAAGTGCTATAAACACAAATCATTTACTGAACAAGACGGTAACTCAGCTGAACCTTGATTTCAAGACCTGATGACGATGATTCTTTCTCCTTGGGATGCTTTTTCTGGAGGACAGCTGGCCTGGAGGAAAGAGAGGTCAGAATGAGACATTAGGACTTTTCTGGAGCACAGATTACATCCGAAAATGCCCTCTGAGGCCACACCTGCTCCCATGTCTTATCTAAAACCAATCAGAAATAAGAGGGCACCCACATCTGAGTATTTCAGAGATTCGTGGAAACTAGACTCTACTAATTGGGGTACCCCCACCTCCTAGGTCAGGGACCTCTCCTTTCCAAAAAAGAATCTTATTCCGGAGGCCCTTCCATTCTGTCATTCAGGTAGCCTGAATTTTAGATGGAGAGCACCTCTAGCTCCAAAGCTGCCATCTCATAACCATGTCTGTGCCATTCTTGTCATTTTCACTACAGCATTCAGGCTCTGACTTTCCTTTGGGGCCACTGTGCCCAAACAAGTACCCGCATGGTTGGAACGTGAAGGGAGAGGAAGCAGCAGAGACATCAGAGCTACACACTCAATCCGGGGCCACACACCCAAGAACAGTCCTGCACCTGTCACAGCTGAACAACTGCATACACCTAGGCTCTGTCACACTGGCTGACGCCCACGCCAGAGATATGGTACACGGCTGCGCCAACCCCACAGAAATGCAACGGCACATCTCATAGCCTCGGGGACACATCTGGGCCCCGCCAACCCCGCAGAGCCCACACGCATGTAACTCACACAGAGCACAGTGGAGGAGTCACAGCCCGGCCGCGTCACCGCTACAGATGCTCACACGCACAGGACGCACACAAACCGGGATGGGGCCGCGTCTCGTCCCCCCGCTACACACACTCACGCGCAAGTGCGTCACAAACACAGGGACCGGGCCTGTCTCCCTCACCGACGCCCACGCGCACATCTCAGTCTGCAGACATGGCCGAGCCCCTGATCACACACACAGACATACACACACGCACACGCTCGCACTTCCTCCGCAGCGCTCCCGAAGCCAGAGGCCGAGGCTCCGTTTCGGGCCTCTTCTCCTTCTCCCTCATCGCCATCGCTCGCCGTATTCCGCTCTGTTTTCCTCATGGGATGCTAATTACTCACCGCTTGGGGCCCAACAACCGACGGCGTCGGGAGGGAGCGCCGGCGTTGAGGTTACCTCCGGACAGGGTCACCGGCAAACCAAAGCTTGAATAAAAATCCTTCTGGCAGAAAGCGCATCTCCCAGCATGCAACTCCCCGAGCTGCTAATGGAGCCATGCCCCAGAGCCCTCTGGGAAACGTAGTCCATAAACGCCGGAATCCGCGGAGCTGAAAACGTACGGCCTCTCTTTCCCAGCATGCAACTCCACAACGGCTCTAATAGAGCTGTGCCTCAGAGACTTCTGGGAAATGTAGTTCGCACCTTAGGTAATACACAGGACTTCTGAAGACTTCTCTCCCTGCCTCTAGAGGAGCTGTGACTTGGGAGGGAGCGTATTTCAGAGTCGCAGAATTTGTAAATGCTGGGAGACTTACCAGCCGTTCAGATTTCTTTTCTTTTTAAAATTATTATTATTATTTTAACGGGAGAAAAGCATGCAAATTTTATTAAATTTTTACATGTACATGAGAGCTTTCAGAAGAGAATGAAGCCCTGAAGAAGTAACCAGAGCAGGAAGCTTTTATACCTTTTAGACAAAGAAAGGATAAATTTGTGAAACTGACAGTGCAATGGGCTAGTGATAGTCCAGTTAGGGCCCGGTAATCCTTATCTTCATTTAATGAGGTTTGTTTGCAGATTCCTCTGGTGCCATCTGTGGACTGGTAAGAGTCTATCTCCATTAAAAGAAGAATTTAGTTCCTGCCTTTGGACAGAGAAGGGGAATCTTTCTGTATGTTTACCGCTTCTTAATTGCCTTCAGCTCAAAATAATTTTTATGTCAAAGAGGCGTATTTAAGGCTGACGTACCTGGTTTCCATCAATTATGATACAGGCATTGCTTGCAATAAGGAAGGCCAAGAAATCTTTCAGTAAGTGTTCTCTTTTTGTATATCATGTTGTTTTATACTGTTTATGTATTAGTTTAATTTAGGTCTATTTGCTGTGAGTCAGTAATACTCATATTTATTTTCTAAGGTGCCTACGAATTTTGTGCTAAGATCTCATCCCATCTTATTAACACCTCTACTATGAAAGAGCTCAGTTTCTATACTGGGGGTTTACCTGCCTCCCATAAGTTGTTTTTGTTGTTGTTTTTCAAACAGGTTTTATCGATCTTCTAATGGGACCAAGTGAAACACAGAGGCATTTAACATAAACCAATACTCTCAATTGTTTATGCATTTTTGTGTAGGGATGGCATTTCCCTAGATTATTCTAATCTTTTCTTTATTTTTTATTCTAGTTGATTTACATATTATATTAATTTCAGATGTACAACATAGTGATATAATATTTTTATAGATTATATGCCATTTAAAGTTATTAAAATATTGGCTATATTCCCTGTGCTGTACAATATATCTTTGTATCTTATTTGTTTTAAACATGGTAGTGTGTACCTCTTAATCCACAACCCTTATCTTGCCCCTGCCCCAGTACTCCTCCCACTGATAACCGCTAGTTAGTTCTTTCTATATGTGTCTGTTTCCATTTTGTTATATTAATTCATTTGTTTTCTTATTTAGATTCCACATGTAAGTGATAGCATACAGTGTTTGTCTTTCTCTGTTTGACTTATTTCACTAAGCATAATACCCTCCAGGTCTATCCATGTTGTTGCAAATAGCTAAAATTTCATCTTTTTTATGGCTGAGTAATATTCCACTGAATATATAAACCACATCTTGTTTATCCATTTATCCATGGATAGACACATAGAGTTGCTTCCATATCTTGGCTGTTGTAAATCATGCTGTTATGAATATTGGGGTGCATATATCTTTTTGAATTAGTGTTTTTATTTTCTTTAGATATATACCCAGGAGTGGAATTGCTGGATCATAGGGTAGTTCTATTTTTAGTTTTCTGGGGAACCTCCATACTGTTTTCCATAATGGCAACATACACCAGTTTACATTCACATCAGCAGTGTACTAGAGTTCCCTGTTCTCCATACCTTGGCAACATTTGTTATTTGTGGTCTTTTTGACCATAACCATTCTGACAGGTGTAAGGTGATATCTCACTGTAGTTTTGATTTGCATTTCCCTGATGATTGGCAATGTTGAACATCTTTTCATGTGCCTTTTGGCCATCTGTAGGTCTTTTTTGGAAAAATGTCTATTCAGGTCTTCTGCCCATTTTTTAATTGAGTTCTTGTTGTTTTTGATATTGAGTTGTATGAGCTGTTAATATATTTTGGATATTAACCCCTTTTAAGACATATCATTTGCAAATATTTTGTCCCGTTCAGTAGGTTGTCTTTTCATTCTGTTGATGTTTTCCTTTGCTATGCAAAGCTTTTAAGTTTAATTAGGTCTCGTTTGTATGGTAGGGAAGTCCCTACCATACTGTTTTGATTACTGTAGCTTTGTAGTATAGTCTGAAGTCAGGTAGTGTGATACCTCCAGCTTTGTTCGATTTTCTCAGAATTGCTTTGGCTGTTCAGGGTCTTTTGTGGTTCCACATAAATTTTAGTATTAGTTGTTCTAGTTCTGTGAAAAATGTAATGGGTATTTTGATAGAAATTGCCTTAAGGACTTCTCTGGTGGCGCAGTGGTTAAGAATCTGCCTGCCAATGCAGGGGACACGGGTTCAAGCCCTGGTCCGGGAAGATCCCACATGCCGCAGAGCAACTAAGCCTGTGCACCACAACTACTGAGCCTGCGCTCTAGAACCCATGAGCCACAACTACTGAGCCCATGTGCCACAACTCCTGAAGCCTGCAGGCCTAGAGCCTGTGCTCCAGAAGAAGAGAAGCCACCGCAATGAGAAGCATGCCCACCGCAACAAAGAGTAGCCCCTGCTCTCTGCAACTAGAGAAAGCTGGCGGGCAGCAACGAAGACCCAGCACAGCCAAAAATAAATAAAATAAGTAAATAAATTTATTTAAGAAAAAAGAAATTGCCTTAAATTTGTAGATTGCTTTAGGTTGTATGGCTATTTTAACAATATTCTTCCAATCCATGAATACTGGATATCTTTCCATTTCTTTGTATCATTTTCAATTTCCTTCACTAGTGTTTTATAGTTTTTAGAATATAGGTCTTTTACTTCCTTGGTTAAGTTTATTCCTAGATATTTTATTCTTTTTGTTGTGATTTTAAATGGGATTTTTTTTTACTTTAGCTTTCTGATAGTTCATTATTAGTGTATAGAAAAGCAATAGATTTATGTATATTAATCTTGTATCCTGCAACTTGCTGAATTTATTTATTAGTTCTAATGGTTGTGGGTAGAGACTTTAGGGTTTTCTATATAAAGTATCATGTCATCTGCAAATAGTGACAGTTAAACCATCCTCATGACCCTAGAAGAAATTCAACTGGGTTATGGTGTATGATCCTTTCAATATATTGTTGGATTCCAGTTTGCTAATATTTTTTTGAGGATTTTTGCATCTATATTCATCACAGATATTGACCTATATTTTCTGTGGCTTAGCATGTGATCTGTCCTGGAGAATGTTTCATATATACTTGAAAATAATGTATATTCTGCTGTTTTTGGATGTAATGTCCTGTAATGTATCTACTAAGTCCAACTGGTATATTGTGTCATTTAAGGCCATTGTTGCCTTATTGATTTTCTTTTCTTTTTTTCTAAATTTAAATGATACATTTATTGAGCTGTGCCTTTTCTACCACACTGGATTAAATAAACTTGTCAAGAAGTACGGTTTTTGTCACCTTCTGGGACATTTAGTAATTTGCTGTTCTTTCTTTTATGTACCTCTGTTAGTACACATGGCCAACTGGTCACCTGTAACAGGTAGGTCTCATGTTATTAGATACACAGGTAAGGAAAGTTACATTCATTATGTCCTTGGTTCAAAGCAACAGGGGCTCCCTAGCATGTAAATCTTTGCAGAATCAAGTGTCTACTATTTTATATATACATATTACAAAAGAAGCAAAGGCACTAGATTACTTGGATTAAACATTCTGTCCAGAGGGATAATACCAGGCTTTAGTTTTCCTCATTTGTAGTAAGTTTCAGGTCCTTGACAGAAACAATGTCTGCTTACATTGTCTGTTCAAGAATTTTTTACCACACTGAATTGGAAGATGTAAGTAGTGTCTCTCATTGGGGCACAGGGCAGAATAATTGCCTAACTAATATAATAAAGATAATGACTCCCTCTGATCAAATATTGGGCAGGATTTCTTGCAACTCATTTTAAGAGATTGGGGTATCTTGAACTAAGGAATCCTCAGCTGTGATCCAAACCTCTCCCATGCACAGCATCCACCTGGATCTCTTTACATCACCCTGTGGAAATCAGGGTGGACAAGGTGAACATAGATAATCATGAAACTCTAGCTGCCTGTTATGTCATGAAAGATAAAGTATTTTGTCTCATATTAAGGCATTTAAATTTTATTTATTTTTGCCCAAACCCATGAAATTATCAGGCTAACATGTTGTCTTTGCAAATATGGTAAAATCAAAGACACCTCAAATTTCTTTCCAGATTCTCCAAATTTCTTTTCTTTGGTGATAATGGGATACCCAAAGAGACATGACTTTCTTTTTTTCCATTTTCTCCAAGATTAAAAAAAAATGCAAATTAGAGGGGATAATGTTTCTTCTCTTTTTCTCTTCACTCTAATAAACCCTAGTTATCACCTGCAGCAATAGGTAATATTTCCCCTTTAAATGAACCAGTGGAAGACTCCCCTTCCAATAGCCACCAGGGCACTTCCTGTTTGCTCACACCTTGTTCAGTTCAACGTGAAGAATATTTATGGACACACAGACTGTGGGGGATAGAAGACACAATTATGCCCTCTGGGGGTTTATGGTGGAGGTGGGGAGCTAGAGACGTGACTTCCTTAAACAGAGTAAATAAGGCCTCTTCATAGAGCTGGTTGAGGACTAGGAGAATAGTCCCAGTAAAAAGTAGCAAATTCTCTAGTCCAAATAGTGTGTGAGGCGGGAATATGTGCCTTCTATTGTTCTATATGTTAATACAGCTGATTATAAAAGGTAAGGATGAAACAAGCAGCCTAAATGTCCTTAATTTTTGTTTGTTTTCTTACTGGTGGAAGGAGTAAAGATCAATGAGTTACCAACATTGAT